GCATTCCAAATGTTTAACCCTTGAAGCCGGTCAACCACTATTGCAAATCTTGCATCTTTAATTAATTGTATATTTCTTCTCATACTGAACATGCATAAAAGAAAAGGTTGTTTCACTTGGAAAATCATATGCAGAAGTTGCAGCATCTATAACTCTGAACTAAAAGACCAACATCAGCTTAGTGTTATTGTGAAAAACCTGCCCTTCGACAAACGAGAAGAAAATGACAATTCAATACTTAAAAATAAGGTTTCAGCTTTATCTGAAACTGGCAGATATAAATGTAGCTAAAGTAATCAGGAAAACTAGCAGATCTGACAATAAACCGGGTATTGTGGTAATAACTTTCGCTTCTATAGAACATGAGAAAGGTGTATTGATAGCTAAACGTGTACTGAAAATTGTTGATGGAATTTTATGGATACGTTTTTCGGAAATAAACATCCCGGAGTCGTTCTTTTATATATGTGTGTGACGATCGATGAACATTTATGATTTTTTAGACTCGCTTTCGTCTGATATATATACAATCCCGAATGGTAGTCCATTTTATTTGTTTGGAGATTGGAACAGTCGAGTGTCCGATGTACCTGATTTAATTTATAGAAGGGATAGATATTTTACCCGAGCGAAATGTTGTTGGTTTTACTAACAACAGTTACGGAGACATTTTCTGTGAGTTTTTGAGTAATGTTAATTGTTGTATTTTAAACGGAAGGAACTTTTTAAGCAACGATTTTACATTTTTATATTAACTAGAGGGACATCTGTTGTTGACTACTGTATAGTTTCATTTGAATATCTGAATTGATTTGATGATTTCGAAGTCAATAGAGGTCAAAGTCTTGTTAATAGTACTTTTATCACAGGAGCGTACGACCCGACACATATCCCTGATCACTCATTGATATGCTGGACATTTAACACTTTAGTTTATGATGCCCAAAACATGTTTAGTCAGGATCAGTCGAATAACGGAACAAATAAACTTATGAAATTTGATACACGAAATATTCCAAATGACTGGTTAACAGATGTTAAAGTAGTTTCCAAGTAAACCAACTCATACTTGATCTTGAACGCTCTAAAATCAATCAATTAGAAAAAGACAATAAATACGACGAGCTTGTTAATGTTATTTAAGATGAAATGAACTCTAAACTAGTTAAGCGCAAGGTGTATTGCGCGGATGGTCTCAGTAATAAGAGAAGAAAGATGAAGAAGTCGTGGTGGAATGACAACCTTGTAGTACTATGGAATGCAGTTTGTGCAGCGGAACGTATTTGGCGTAAAAATCATAACCGTAACGAAAGGGAAAGTGCACGTCATGTATTTGTGAAGAAACGTTAAACTTTTGACAAAAACTGTCAACAATCGAAAAGACAGTATTGGTATCGTAGTCAAGAAGAACTCTGTGCCGTCCAAAATAATGACCCCGGGAGTTCTGGAAGAAAATAGGAGGAATTGGCGTTGGAAATGAAAGACAGAAATGCATTCCGATGGAAGTTTTACAAGATGACAGTTCAATTTGTACTAATACTGATGTAGTTTTAAATAAATGGAAAATTTCTTTTGATAATTTATTGAATTGTGAAGATAACTTGCCTAATGATAGTATAACAAACGACATTTCAGATGAATTTTTGATTGTGAAATTAGTATTGACGAAGTTATAAATGTATTGATTAAAGCAAAAGATGGCAAAGCGCCAGGAATTGATTTGATACCTGTAGAATTGTATAGAAATGATATATTATTACGTGTTTTACATAATTAATTTAATAAGTGTTTCAAATATGGTAAAATCCCTTCCACGTGGAGTAAAGGGATAATAACACCTGTACCTATAAGTGTTCTCCATCAGACACTAGGGATCCTTTGTCATATCGGGGCATTACATTAGCCCCATGTAGTTATAAATTGTTTTGTAGCATTTTGAATAATAGACTTGTATCTTGGTTAGAAACTAAAAATGTTATACATGATGAGCAAAATGGTTTTCGTTGTGGTAGAAGTTCTATTGATCATTTGAGTACGCTTACATCTATTATTGAAACCAGAATATTACGAAAATTTACGTTTGCAGTGTTTGTAGATTTCAAAAAGGCATATGACACGGTTAATAGAAATTTATTGTTTAATGATCTTAATGATCTTGGTATAAGTAAACATTTTTTGTGTGTTATTAAAGCTATTTATTCTCAAGTTGAATGTGCTATTAAACTAAATGGCAATATGACTGAATGGTTTAGTGTTAATTCAGGCCTAAAACAAGGCTGTGTTTTGTCTCCAATATTGTTCATAATTTCTATAAACAGCTTAGTTTCAGATATTAAAGCATTAGACATTGGTATTGAGATTGACGGTGAAAAAGTTGATATTTTATTATATGCAGATGATATTGTACTGATTGCAGAGAATGAAAACGATTTGCAATTACTCTTAGATGTTTTAAATACATGGTGTAAAAATAAGTTATTAAATATTAATCACGAGAAAACTAAAATTGTACATTTTAGAAATCCGTCTGTACAACAGACAAAAACATTATTCTTATTTAATGATGAGCAAATATATATTGTACAAAGCTATCAATATCTGGGTTTACTATTAACTGAATTTTTAAACTATGATGTAATGGATAAAGCTGTAGCCAAGTCAGCTAACAGGGCATTAAGTTTGAATATTTCAAAGAGTAAGGCACATGGAGGTTTCCAGTACAGACATTTACTAAACTATTTGATACCCTGGTCTGGCCTGTTATAAGTTATGGTGCAGCCATTTGGGGCACCAGAGATTTTTCGTGTATTAATGCTGTCCAGAACTGAGCTATCAGGTCTTTTATGGGTGTGGGTAAATATACCCCGAAAGATGTAATCCAAGGGGATATGGGCTGGAAACCTCCGAGTGTTAGGCAGTGGACTTATGTTTTTCGACACTGAGATAGATGTAACATAATGTGCACAGATAGATTGAATTATAGAATATTTAAATGGTGTTACAGTAATGCTCTTAATAAGAGACGCAATTGGTGTTTTAGGATTATGTCTAAGTTTAAAGAATGTAATTTAGATTTCTATGTTAATTTAAGTAATGTATTGTATAAACAAGAGATTACACAGATAGAAGAAGTTGTATTTGATAATTATTTAGAAAACTGGCAAAATATAATATTGACACAATTCATTCAGTGATTGTTTTCGCAAGATTATTAACTTTTGAGTATGTTGCCGAGATTTAATGGATTGTGAAATTCATAAACAATCAACACAAAACACGTAGAGCACGTGAAATTTATGTGAACTGTTACAGCCATGATATTTTATTTTCATATTTTCCATACATTAGCATGTGATAATTAAGCTTTTCCTTAATAGTTTTTAAATGATTTGGTGTATTTCATTTGTTCTTTAAAAATCAGTTATTACTATTTACCTTCATGTGCACGTTTGTTTACCTTTACGTTGGTCACGAATATATGTCATATTATGTATGTATTTAGTTTCATACTAAATGAAAGATCGTCCTGCTTACTCTCGATGCTTCACTTAACAATCATTAAATGTAATGTTGATGTAACCTATCACACTGCAGCGTTACCACCAACGCACTATCACACAGCAGCGTTACCACCAACGCACTATCACACCGCAGCGTTACCACCAACGCACTATCACACCGCAGCGTTACCACCAACGCACTAAGGCGTAGCTATCAACAAGACAGCGACGCAATGTCACCATCGCACTTCATCGTGATCAAAAACACAGTTCAGCGTCAAACCATCGCAGTTAAGCGTAACCATCATTACATGAATATTAAACCAAATAGATTAACACTAAGTCTTGAATATGATTTATTTCAAGCTAAAGTTAGAACTCTTATGTTCAGCCTATGGTCCACAGACGGAAGGATAGTTACATTTCTGCTCTGAAATGAGAAAAAAAACACTTTATAAATTTCGTACGTCAAAAGCGCCCAAACCCATTATTTCAAAACCACGCTGCGATGTTACCAAAAAGATGTTCAACTGTGCCTGAGGGAGTTGGAACCTTAGTTTCTTAAAAAATATCTTAATTTATAAACGGACAATTTTTATGTATATGTTATAGTGCTTTTCAGTACCAAGCTACTGAACTGAAACAAATATTAAATGAAGTCAATTAAGTCATTTCGAGTTGTTATTATAATTTATGTACCATTACATTTTTGTTCTGAAAAAAAAAACAGTATAAAAAAGTGCATATTTTTCTTTGTAATGGAAGTAGCTTATACTGTAATAATTGCAGTTTTATTATTTCTTTATTAACTTTTTATTAAAAATACGAAAGAAAAACTGACACCAATGATTTTGATACGTTAACAATGCAGCTTTGTGTATGACATATGCACTTTCTAGACCATATTAAGCATGATTTACTAAAAGGTTTCAAAAAACATATTGCATGATGTTCTAAATGTGGTCTTTCCTATTCATAAAAATATAATTTTGTTGACGGATAAACACACATATAAAATTGACTCCGTTGTGTTATGTAAATATGACAATCACAAGCCTTAAGAACGTAACATTAAGATCATATATTGCTATGTATTACACAAAGGATAATCACTGTGAGTGCATAATATTCATGAATAAAAGTATTTCCAATTGCTTGTTTTATACATGTTTGCTTAGATAGGTCCTTAACAAGCTTTTGCAGGAAATATACTTTAGAGAGACATATTTAAAAAAGAAAACGATTTCTAGTCCTTGCAAGCATAGTAAGATGATATTTGAACTTGTATTTGTAAATCTGTGTTGTAACAGTTGTTGCTAAAAATCTGAATAGTGAAAATATCGCACTATAAAATGTACTTAAAGGTTGCGAAAATCTAAACGTGGGGTACTTATAAATTATTATTGATACCGGAAAGACTAATTTCTTGTTCATATTGAAAGATTTTTCCAACATTCATAAAACATGTCAAATGAAGGCAATATCTTAATAAATTATTACTTTTTCTAAGACTTCTACAGTCTTCTGCGTTACATTGGTTGGTATTACAGCATGCAGCACAAACATCTATATCTCCTATAGCTCGTCTCCCCTGACCGTGTGTATATCTTAAATCTTTTAACAGGTGGTCGCACATCTGAAATGAAGATAAACTTATAGATTTTTTTCACTATATTTATTTTTGCGTTCTTATCAAGTGGACTGTTACAACTGTTAGTTTGTTGGCTTATTTCCATTGCCTTTCATTTTAATCACTATATTTCATCGACTGATTATTTGCAAAACAAAATATCTTAAATAATTACACATCTTAGCAAAGAACGATTTCTTATTAAATAAAGTACAAAAAATGAATAACTGTTTTTACCAAGAAAACGGAACTAGAATTTAAACGATTTTCTACATCGCTCAGCAGAGATATGAACAGTTAACTAGATGATACGAACAACATTAAACCTGCACGAAATGATATATAAATATAATTACTGTTATCAATACTGTTATTAATAATATCTTATAGTTATAATACATACACAGTTGATAGGCGTTTTCATAAAAACGTGCAAAGAGGACATTTCGAAAAAGTATAATTACACAGATGAAACAAAAGCTCCATTTTGGTTTAACCAAATCGCCCAACTCGACATGCCCGTTCCAAATTTAAATAAATAAAAAAAAAATAATGATAACTATCGAAATTCACTTCAATTAATGGATATGAGTGGATGACAACTTTTTTGGGAATATTGTCTTCCATGGCAGTAATTATTCAAGCGTTTCGTCGTATGCATTTGACATCTTATTTTAACATATTCAGAGACATAAATTTACATACGCAGTTCCCGTCGATGAAAAAATGAAGGAACAAAGTCTATTTTCTCAATTTTAAAGTTCGATCGCTATCTTATGATGTATTTAATAAAAAGAACATTTTAATTCATTTAACAAACAAGCATGTTCTATGTTATCTTCGTTTTTGTCTACTTACTATAGTTTCCTAAATGTATGAATGCTCGGAAATTTTCGATTGTGATGATGAAATTTAATTGGTCACACATTACGAAGTCATGTGAACTTAATTTTGCAATTTAGTACTGTAGGTTTTCGCTTCTTGGTTTGTCAACAGACATTGTAAAATGGAGTTTTATGAATCATCAAGATGTATTGTCTAGTAAATATATCAATAATGAAATTAATTATTTTAGTAGCTTGTATCACTTTAAAACCACAGGAATAAAATTGAGAATGGAAATGGGGAATATGTCAAAGAGACAACAACCCGACCAAAGAGCAGACAACAGCCGAAGGCCACCAATGGGTCTTCAACGCAGCGAGAAAATATCGCACCCGGAGGTGGTCCTCAGCTGGCCCCTAAATAAAAATGTGTACTAGTTCAGTGAAAAGGGACGTCACACTAAACTCCAAAACATATAAATGAACTAAAATTAAAAAACATACAAGACTTACAAAGGCCAGAGGCTCCTGACTTGGGACAGGCGCAAACATGCGGCCGGGGTTAAACATGTTTTGTGAGATCTCACTCTCCCCCTATACCTCTAGCCAATATAGAATAAAGAAACATATAGAAATACGCACAGTAAAACTCAGTTTAAAGGAAGTTCGAGTCCGATGTCAGAATAGGTAACAAAAGAAACTAAGCAAAATGACAATGATGCATAAATGAACAAAGGACTACTAGCAGTTACTGACATGCCAGCTCCAGACCTCAATTAAACTGATTGAAAGATTATGAAATTAGTAATTGAAAATGATGGACTTCATGTAATGTCTTGTACAAAAAAAAAGCGTCTTAATTTGTGTTATTCCAACCCTATTAAGAGACATGCCTTATATTTGTCTCATTGTCCTAATTACTAAGAATAACATTGAATCTAGCTACAAATTTGCTTCAATGTATTTTTTATATATGATATTTATATCAACTTACTAATTTTCGCTCACATCCGAGTTGATATCGTACTGCAGAGCCACGAATGAACTCTCTTTGCACACAGACCTAAAGAAATTAACAGTGCAAATAAAATACATATGACAATATACTAAATAAAGTTCATAATAAAAACGTCAGGAGATATTAAGATGGCAGTTGATTATAGATACTACCACTGCATCCAGTGTGATACGATATTTATACAATATGCTGGCTACCTTGTAATACGATATTTATACAATATGCTACCTTATTCCTTCTTTTCAAATGGTCTACAAAAAGATGTGTTCCTTCTATACGACGTCATCAGGCATGTTTGCTTTTTTTCATGACGTCAAATTAGGAAATTCAGAGAAATGCAAGATAATTTGACGTCAGAATCACATTTTGACCAACGAATAACTGAGATCAAACGAACCATTAGTTGATTAAATAAAAATAATCAACAGTTCTGGAAAAGGATAAATCGGGTAAGAATTAGAGAAACAGTAATAAGTTTGAAAGTATAAACATCATCGACAAAAGATACATAAAATGTAGCAACGTAGCAACCAACCGGTAGTGACACCCGTAGAGCTTTTCATATATAATCGTGAGCACAAAAAGTTTCATTCATCACTACGATAAATAAACCATTAAACAAGATCTTAAGGTGTTCGTAAAATTTTCAACTGAAACCTGTTAAGGAATGACTTAAATATTCTTTCTGTCTATGAAGAAATAACATCAAAATGCGGTGCATACTAAATAACCAGGGTAGCGTATGGAACGCCACAGCTGTCTTATGTGGTACTCTGATATTACGTTATTTTGTTTTATTATAACTTGATGATATTGTCTTAACATAATATGGTATTAACATTACGTAATGATTTTTGGATATAGCTCAATATGGAATAGTCATTACTTAATGATATTTCGATTTTACTTGATATGGTTTCGTATTGACTTGATATGGTTATTTCATTATTTAATATGGTTTTGTCATAACTCGATGTGATTTCATCATTATTTAATGTGGTTGTGTCATTAGGCAATGTGGTTTTAACATTACTTGATGTGTATGTGGCTTAACGTAATGTATTTGTTTCATTACATGATGTGGTTTTGTTATTTCGTAATGATGATTTGCCAATTCTTCATATGGCTTTAACATTACATAATGATGGTTCAAAATTTGACGATTTTACACAACCTGATGTGTTTGTTCCTGTTTTTGACGTGGTCCTGTCATTCTTTGATATGGTTATCACATTACTTGATGAGGTAAAGCCACGTAACCATTTTGGAAAAAAATAGTTCTATTTTTAACCCGATTTATATAATGTGCTTCGGATGGGTGTCGCTATCTATATAGTTAAAGTTCAAATTAAAGTTCGAGTTGTTGTTCAGAGTTATTTGGTATGAAAAAGGGGAATGGCAGACAAAAATAAGAAAAAAAGTACAAAAAAATATCAATATTTCGGATATTAGGGGGATATCCCAAAACCACTTGGTCCTGCCATGTTTTTTTTTCCCTTAGTTCTCAAATGGAAGCAGTATTACAAACATTTGTGAAGAATTCCACGGAACCCTGTCTCGCCTGAGATTGCTGCTGTCATTGTTATGTGTCATGTTGACTGTAAAACGTCCATTTATCGGTAAAAAACAAAATTAAAAAAATTGTTTTTCTGTACATGCTTTATCTCGAAATAGAAGATGAACTCCTATAAAAGTTTTATATCAATTCATGGAGGTTTAAAAATTTATCATGATAAAATAGTTTAATTTGGTAATATTTAATGCAAATAAAACTTATATAAAAATAAGAAGATGTGGTATGATTGCCAATGAGACAACTCTCCACCACATACCAAATGACGTAGCAGTTAACAACTATATGTCACTGTATGGTCTTCAACAATGAGCAAAACTTATTCCGCAAAGTAAGCTATAACCGGTCCAGAAATGACAAATGTAAAAACAATTCAAACGAATAACCTAACGATCTAAATCATGAAGACGCCGACGACGGCATATAGGTTTGTTGTGTCTAACTTCCGCGACATTAATATCGCAGGCTGGACAAACATCAAATGACTTGTACTTTATTTTCAACAAATGAGACACTTTAAATCAACTCACACTAAAGTTACAGGGAAAAGGGGGGATCGGACTAAGCGACAAAGCATCAATTCTATAAAATAAGAATTCTCCGATTTTTTTTTAGCGTGTATTATCATTTGAACATATACGAATATCAATCTTTTAATATATATTTTTATAAATTCCATTCTCTGATATACCTCGCACTAAATTGAAGAGAAAAAACTTTTTGGAATATCTCTTTTACAGGTGACGATGGATATGTTCCTGTTGTCGTTACCACAATCCCGTCCTCTTTTTCTCGAATGTGACTTAACGAATTAGACTAAATCACTGGGTTTGTACTTTCATGAAAAACACGACGGGTGCCACACGTTGAGTAGGATCTGCTTACTCTTCCGGAGCACCCGAGATCACCCCCAGGATTTTGATGGATTTATATTGCCCAGTCATACCGATCTATAGAGTTAAGCCAATTGCATCTGATTTTTATACGCCCGTTTACGGGACGTAACATAGTATACCGTTATCCGTCCGTCCGTCCGTCTGTCCGTCCGTCCGTCCGTCCGTCCGTCCGTCTGTCCGTCCGTCGTCAACATGTCGGACAATAACTTAAAAACGCTTTAACCAATTTGCATGAAACTTTGGTGAATTGTTTATATTTATTGACGCAAGCCATCTTTCAATTTTTATAAATTTTAGATTTTACATTTTCGAGTTATGGGATATTATTCATAAAAAATGGGTGATTTTCCAGTTTTCGGACAATATCTTTATAGTGCTTTGGTGACTGGTTTATATCTATTAAGATAACCTCCCTTTAGTTTTTCATAAATTTCTGATTTAACATTGAGAAGTTATTGAACTTTATTCTTTGAAAAAGCGACGGGTGTAGCATGCGCTAATGGCGCAGCTGTTTAATTTTTATACAGTTAATTCTTGTGTTGTGCTATTACACTATTCATTCGTGGTAGGGTTAAGGTTTAGCGCTCACAAACATGTTTAACTCCGCCACGTGCACATTCTTTGTGTGCCTGCCCCAAGTCAGGAGCCTGTAATTCAATGGTTGTCGTTGTTTCATGTGTGTCATATTTGTTTTT